TACAAAACGCATATTGTCACGGGGTTGTGTGTGTGTGTGTGTGCGTGTGTGTGTGTGTGTGTGTGTCCCACATCATGTCCAGCACTGTCAACTCGGGAACCACAAAAGCTAGACGGCTGAAATTTTGGTATAGTGTCCCCCGCTAGCGGATGACGCGGCAAATTTAAATTCAGCCTTCCCGTACCCGCGGGTAACATGTACGGCCCAGTGAAAGTTTTTCACGGGTAAATTAATATCTCGGGAACCAGGAAGTCTAGAAGACTGAAACTTTAGGGTAATAACCCCCTTCCCACGTTCAACCTTGTCCATTCAAATTCAGCGTTCCTGCACTCTCGGGTATCACCTACAGGCTAGCGAAAGTTTTTATGGGTAAATTATTATCTCGGCAACCACGGGGTCTAGGAAGCTGAAATTTTAGGATAACGACCATCTGCCCACGCTCAACCTTGCTAATTCAAGTTCAGCGTCCCCGCGCTCTTGAGTATCACCGACGGTCTCGTGAAAATTTTGGCGGGTAAACTATTAACTCGGAAAGATATCCACCTTCAAGGTTTCGAATTCAGCTCTCATGCACTGGTGCGTGAAATTTTCAACTATTTTCCAGTGTCTGAACTATTTTTGCATAGACTAAAATACAGAGCAGTGAAAGTCATTAATAGGCAATCGTTCGATGGGCTGAATTGCACAAAACTCATGATCGCATCGGCTAGCCTGGTGCGCGTTGCTATTTATTTTTGGGTTTGAAGCAAAGTTGTAAAAATCATAAACACACAGGGATATGCAAACTTTATGGATTTTTTGTTTCAGTAAGATTCTAAAATAAAAAAAAAAACTACCAAAACACAAAAAAAAGCGATGCAAAGCACTGGTATGCCCATGATTAAACTGTATACAAGTGGTATAGGCGAGGGAGTAAATATGCACCACAATCCCCAGCTGGCCACTGCACATGAATGCCATATGGCGCAAAATTCCATTGCACTGTCAATGTCCTCAAAGTGTTCAACAGCAAAGACCCTGTTCAGGCCTTATCAATGCATCTGTGCTGAAGGCAGCGACGTATGGATGCGAAACGTGGTCACAACGCAAGCGCAACAATGAACGCCGGCTCCAGCACGGCGAGCAAAGGCGCGTCTTTTCGTAACCATACAAGCAATCAGACTGCGCATCAGAAGAGCGGTATGCAGAATGTCACTGCGAGATGCGAGAAAGAGGCGGTGGAAAGCTTTATCCAAATCCCCTATATAGCAAACCCATCCCCATCACACATACCGAATCGCCTCCTTCCCTCCCCCTCCCCCCGAGCCCCATCACGACGAACCCGAGCACCAACCCAATTGTCCACATTACTCGAGCGACTACTAAAGCTCGGCTCAGCTCGGCCAGGTCCGGGTGTTGATTTGAGATGATTGGGAGGAGCGGTTGAGATGAGTGGGAGAGGGGGCGGGGTGGCGGGTAGGAGAAGAGATGAGTATGTGGGGAGGTAGTTTGAATCACGGAAGTTCTGACGGAAGAGAGGGTGCAGGATTGCTGAACATTGCTTGAAGATAATAATTAACCAGCATATCGGCTGCCAGTGCGAAGATGCGTCTTTTGCACAGTTCCCCATTTGTCGCTGACAGCACTGCTTTTTTCGGAAGATGTTTGTTGCTGAACAG